GTAGGGTTTGGGCTGTTTCCAAGGTCAATTTCAGGGTTCAATCTAGGGCTAAGGGCTTTGAGTTTCGAGTTGGAGGGAACGGAATCGGGTTGCGCAGGACGGATTTACGTTGACGTGCCTTGGCCGGAGCAGCCCATGTCCCTAAGGGTCCATGTGCCAAAATACTATGCACTTTGGCCCTGGCGTAGTGCCTATTTCGGTACTTTCTCATTTTAATTCAAACGCCAAAGCATATACTTTTTGGGCACATGGACCCTTAGGGTTTCGGGTCAAGCATTTGGGGTTTGGGGTGTACGGTTGGCAGTTTACGGTCTATCTTGCCCTAGAAGTAAAACTTGAAACTTGAGGTAGTGGCTGCGTGGCTTGTGTACTGCAGCTTTTCGTGAAATTGAACGAATCCATCGTCCTTGGGGTTCCTTCTGTAAGTACGCGCACTAAGATCCCCAAAGCTTCCTTTACTAGCTAAGGCCCCTATAGCAAGTATGAACCAACTCGACTGCTTGACGTGATGGGGCTGGGGGCCAGTTCCGCTTATCTTCAGGATTTCGGGGCGAGCTGAGGGGTTTGGTATGTTGGGTTAGGGTTACAGGTTGAAGCTCGCCCGCAGTGCACTGGTATCTCCTGAGGCAAGTCCCAGAGGGTCCAAGTACTCCCTATTATAGGACTTTCGGGCCTTATTAGGTACCAAAAACCATAAATAGGGAACTACTTGGACCCTTGGGGAGTATATACCTTCCGCAGAAGATACATCCAGAGCCTCCGAGAAACAGGCGCGCAGCAGAATCCTTTCACCAAGTTCAAGGTGCTTGGACCCCTAAACCCCCGAAACCAAAACCCTGACGTCGCATTAAACGCCTATCACATAAGGTAGAAGCCAGAAAGTTGGAATATGATTATCCTAACCCTTCTATGGTAAATTATAGGGTATCCTACCATGAAACCATATTCCAACTTTCTGGAGTTCCCTGTAGACGAATTCTATAGACCCTACAGTGCCTAAGCTCCAAAGCTCCTAAACCCCAAGCTTCAGACCCTCGTCGCCCTTACTCCGAACACTAGAACTTCTTCCGTTTAGGGTTTAGGGTTTAGGGTTTAGGGTTTAGGGTTTCGTCATGGCTTGCATTTGCCCGAACTTGTATGCTCCACTCCTCGCACCAATTTTGGGTTCCGAATCACGAATCACGCTGGTATCAGGTCTGCACCTTCAAGGGGACAAGTCTGCGAATCAGCCCTCCAACCGCTAGTTTGGTAATCGTGCCTTCTTTCGAAATACAGAAATGGTATCAAGTTGGCACTGCCTCGCTTGATATCTTGTCACAGATTCCCGAGGATTTTAAAACCCAGAAAGCCCAATACCCCTTAACTAAGCAATATACCGTAAAGCATTAGGGCTTCATACTATGATTTAAGCTATATTCCTTAGTTAAGGGGTATTAAGGTCTCTGGGAAGGCAGCATGTGTGAACAGCAGCTCCCGAGTCGTGAAGTGGCGGTTGCTTTCGTAGTTTGGGTTTGCGGGGAGTGGGAGTAGGGTTTAGGGTTTAGGGGGTCTGCGGGGACTGTGGGTACAGCATTGCAGAATTGCTAAAGCCGAACTGAGTATCTGCTGGCTTAAAGGAGCACGAGCTCATGTTCTATAATAGTACTATATATGGACCCCCTCGATTAAGGAGCCCTAAAACCCTCAACCCCAAATCCTCACGCCCCACACCCTATAGAACCCTAAACCCATGAGGAGCCCTAAGCTTTAGAAACTCCTAAGGAGTGAGGAGCAGGGAGGTCGCTTGGGTGATGTCTGCATCGCCTTTCTTCGACCTCCGGCTGCTTCACAAGAGGAGCCGGCTCGTCGTCTGTCTTACTAAACCCTAAAGGGGTTTAGGGGTTTGGATTTCGGGGTTTAGGGTTTAGGGGAACCCTGGACTCTCACAGCTTCGGGCTAGTCGTAGGATTGTGTGCAGGATCCGAGCAGAATCGATGGTGGCTTCCATGGACGTCAGCCCTATGAGCCCAAGCTTCAGATCGACGGTACTTCTCTGTAGCCTGAATCGGGGGTATATGGCTCCGAATGGCAGCTACGTAGTATTTAGGGTTCAATAGAGGGTACATCAAGGAGGGTCTAGGTACGACTTAGAAGCAGTTACCAATACCATGTCTTCGGGCTCCCCGATTGAAGAACCCGTTGGGTTTCCCGGCTTGTGGCAATACTTTGCTTCTTCTCACTTCGACAGGACGGTTTAGGGTTTAGGGGTTTAGGGTTTAGGGGTTTAGGGCTATAGGGCTTAGGGTTTAGCCTGATTCACCCAATGAAACCATGTGACTGAGGGTAGTTTTGGCGACGAGCGTCTAGGCATGTGGACCTATCGTTCAACCAACCCATAGGCCCCAAAGTAGTTCCTTTTTGGGATCACCCTCTCGGGTTCTGTATATGAACCCCAAAAAGGAACTACTTTGGGGCCTACAGGAATTGTTTCTGTAGCATCGAGGTTCAGGGCTTGGGGATCAGTTTATTCTCCTGTGCCTTGGGTCTCGAGGGTGCTTCTGTATCGAGCGAAGTGCTTCGATTCTGCCAGGGAAGATGGCGAAGATGCTACCCAAAGGATTCTAAGTACTTTTATGGGGGTCACTTTCGCAAACCATAGTGAATCTTAGTATGAAGCCCTACACTGTAATACTATTTAGGTACTTTGGGCTTTGGGCTACATCCGAGGCCAGAACCAGAACTCGAACCCAGAAACAACCCAACAGTAGATCCTAAGTGCAACTCCAGCACGACCACCCCCTCCACAAAGTTGAGACTCGAAGAGCACGCAGGAGGCGTTCCATGAGAAAGAGACCATGGCGGCTGTGGTCGAAAAGGGCATCTCAGTTGACTCCGCCGTGCTGAGTACCCTAAGTAACAGGATCCTTATCATGAGGAACCCAAAAGTACGGTACCCCTATTTTTCGGAAACTCCTAAACCGAACCCTACATAGGATGACTGTCTGGTTCTTAGCATGGAATTGGGGAATAGATCCTTACAGTAGTCCCAAAAGTAATTAGTCTCCATAATCCATTCCCTTCTACCAACCAGACATCAGCTGCGATGTACCGTGGCTTAGGGCTGTTTTGCTTTTGTGTTTCAGGGTTGAGGCCTGGGGAGTGTAGGGCTTTTCGGCTTGAAGGTTGATGCAGTGCTTCGAATTGAAATACCAGGCTGTTCAGTGTCACACTTTTCTTCTTTCTGGTTTCTGGGTTCCTATTATAACATAAGAAGCCTAAAAAGTATATACTTTTTCCCAGTGGGTTACGGAACAGCCTAGAATATGTTCCTAGGGTTCATGGTCCACCTTCCAGCATCGGGTTGTTACCTCTAGGAACACTGCATTTCGGATTCACTGCTGCTCATCAGACGAAAGCCTCAACCTGCCACCTGTCTCTTTCCTGTTGTGGTCTGAGATGGATGCTCAGAGGCTCTTCTGTTTAATTTCGTTGAACAGCGTTCGAGGCTGCATTGGTGGCCAATTCTGATCAACGCTTAATAAAGAAGCCTCGATGATTCGTTCTATTTTGGCCTGTCAGTCCGTATGAAGAGAATGGTTTAAAATGCCTTGTAACCCGATTTTATCTCTAGGCCCCTGATTACCGTTTTGGTGTAGAACGTGGGCTGTTGCTGCTCTTTCTAGGTGGGACGAATTCAAGCAAGACATGCCACCGGAGAGTTTTACCGGCAAAACTCACCAATCCTGCCCTGTTGAACTGTTGGGTGTAGCGAATCTAAGGGGTCGGAAGTAGCAATACTATTCCCTTGTAGTCCCTAGTTGGACCATCGTACACTTTTACCTACCCCACAGCCCAATCTATTCATTAAGGCTCCTCATCGTATAGAACCTTTACAGATCCCCTACAGATCCTTTAGAAGGAACCCTGATCTAATCATTCAAGTCCCATTTGAGGGCTGTAACGCTGCTCACCGCAACCGCGCGCTGCCTCGTCGATGATATCTTGCTTGATCCAGGCTTAGGTTTTAGAGGCTTGGGGTTCAGAGTGCGGGGGTTCATAGGTTTCAGGGTTTCCGTATGTAGGTTTCCAGCTAGTCGCACAGTGCTACAACAGCTCAGAGTATCATGTCATACGGTTTTTCCATGCAAGCTCGACTCTGCGCACAAGGAAACGTCGACTTCGGGAACAAAACCCCTGAACCTGGAAACTCAAACCCTGAATCCTATAAGCCGTATACAGCCCCGAAACCTTACGTGCAGGGCGTTCAGGATTTTGGAATATAGTCAGTTTCAGGGTCGAGTGATTCGCGGACTATCGGTGCAATGACGCACTTTGCGAGGCTGGTGTTTCGGGTTGAGGGCTCCACCCTCAAAGCCTGTTCTAGCTAAAGGTTAAGGTACAGTAGTTCCTGGCTTGGTTGTGGGTTGCAAGTGGCTACGGCGATGGCATTCGATGGTAGCATTTGCGAAAAGGGCTTAGTGTAGAGCTGGCTCATCTGGAATAAGTCGTGTACAGACAAAACCGTGGCTTATATGCATTGACAGTGCGTGCCTCTGAACCTTTCTGTGTGCATCTCTCTCTCTCTCTCTCTCTCTCTCTCTCTCTGTATGCGTTTGTGGTGGATGTCCTCTCGCAAGTCCCTCTGCAGTGCAGCACCTGTGCTATGCATCACACCTGTTGAAAGACCACTTTCAGTCGCAGGAAAATATGATCTAGATAGACAGAATCAACACTGCAACTAGGTTTGGACTGACAGCAAACTTGCAGAGGCACTCCCAGCAAGGAACGGCCAGAAACACTCCCAGCCAGCTGAAGCCCCAGCATGGGTATCCACGACAATCGCCGCCCCCTGCCGACGATGGTGCACCGGGACATCCCTAAGAATCCATGAGCCTGAATAGTGACTACTTGGGCTTCAAAGTGCTTTCTGTATAGTATGTGTTGGGCTCAAATGTGCCCCTATATAGGGAATCCCGTGGAGCCTTTGACACCTGCAGATCCTGCAGTTTGGGGCGAGCGCAATGTCAGCGGTCTGCCGTGCAGTGGCAGCTCTGGATCCAAGTGGCAGCGCTGATCCACTACGTGCGCTCCTCACTTTGGCCTTGGCAATTGGCTTGTGGTTCTGCTTGCACAGGTGGCACAAGATTCGCGATGCAAAAACAAAGTTAGCCGCTGCAGTAGACACTGGCAATCCTGACGAGATGCTCAGGGCATGTGATGAGGTTGAAGCGTCTGGTGCAGATGCAACTGGTGTGCCTGCAGTTCGTCGCATGGCCAGTGTGCTGAGAAGGTTGGCCACTCTATGCGAGCCCGGTGAGATTGTGAAAGCTTGTGACGATGCCGAAGCTGCCGGTGTGAACGAACATCATGTGCAGGCTTTTCGGCAAAAGGCTTGCAAGATTCGCGGAGCTTTGCGAAGATTGGCGGCTGCTGAAGACTCAGGCGACGCAGTCGAAATGCACGAGGCGTGTGACGAGGCCGAGGCATCCGGTGCAGCTGCAGCTCGTGTGCATGCAGTTCGACTTAAGGCAAACATAATTCGTGCTGAGGATGAAGTGAATTTTCAACTGATGGCAATGCGCTTCAGTTTGAAAGATTTACAGGCCAACTTTGCAGCTGAAGATAGTTTGCACTTGCTAACTCTGCTTGCAGCTACGCTTACAGCGTTGCAGAGCAAGTTGATAGTGGCTTGCAAATGTGTGAGTTGCCACGAGGCTGTGCTTGCAGGCCAGGCGCCTGTATGCTCACAAGGCACACATTCCTTGTGTCCATCATGCTTCGAGAAGTATGCCCGTGCAGAGCAAGACCAGCCAGAGACTGTGATTCGTCAACGGGGTGCTCTTCTTGAGTGCCCCTGCCGAGCGCCTGCCGATGCTTGTTGCAAGGGCTCTTTCAGCGAGCAGACAATGGCCAAGTACTTGCCATCAGAGCTCTTTGACACACATATGGGCCTACAGCGGCAGCAAATCCGTGCAGAAGAGCATGCGAAGGCAAACCAGATGCTCAACAAGCTGGCAGCAGAATGGGAGCGGCAAGTGCCAGGGCTGTCGCAGGAGCTGCTCGCAAATCAGTTGAAAGCAGCCTTGCCAGGTGCACATCAGTGCGGGCGTTGCGGCTTCGGACCAGTGCTACATGACCGCTGCGACAATTTGAGCACCCACCACAATGAAAGCAGTGGCAGGACTCGAATCAGCAATGCTTGTCCAAGTTGTGGTCATTTTAGTGGCAATATTTCGGGCTGGCCACGGTGGGATGGCAGAGTTCGCCACCTTGCCCAAGCGCGCAGCGCAGAAGTTCAGGCATATACCGACACAAAAGCTGCTGCCAGTTCCAGCGACAGCAGAAGCAGGGCAGAGCAGATACGGCGTGATTATGAACTGGCAGTGCGCTTGTCCCGAGCAGCCTAGATGCCTTCAGGCCGCCTGTGACTGGTGGCGCAATCGGTGTTTTGCTTCCCCAAAGGCTCCATGTACCATAATAGTAGATACTTAAGCCTTAAAGGGGTCCCTATATAGGTACTTTACGGCCTAAGTATATACTATATATGGGTACATGGAGCCTTAGGCTTCTCACAGATGGTGCCGCATTCCAAGCGCAGTGTGGTTTAACAGAGGGGCATACGCGAAACCCGACGCTTGCACCAGTCATGTTCCGTGAGGGTTGTACAGACACTGACGGGTTGGACAGACGATGCCGAATCAACACTTTGGTGCAAGAACAGAACAGGTCAGCTTTAGTTTGACATGCGCGAGAGAGACTCGGTCGGGCCCTGTATATGCCCGAATTAACCCTATCGTCGGCAAACTCAGGATGTGAAGGAGATGGTCGACACATCGATACGGCTTCTCAGCTTCACAGAGAAGGTGCGCGCCAGCCACTGCTTTGGCCACAGTCACCCTGACCCTGACGAAAACCCTAGCTGTAGCTGATACCTGAAATGCCGTAAAACCAAACCAATAGTTGGGGCCGGTTCAATACCTAAGCTCCCGATAGGATATTCGGCTCAAGGTTAAAGGTTCTGGGTTTAAGTGCTAACAGGGGCTATTTCCTGACACAGTCTTTCAAGCGCTCGAAGCCGTCTTACACAGAAAGCCTTGCTCTGCAATCCTTGCCAATTAAACCCTCAACCAGTAAAGCCTTACCTCTTGTGGCGTCTCCCCGTTCCTTGGCGAGGCGCGCTGTGCCAAGAAGGCCCTCGCCTACTAGGACTCCTGTCCGCAGCTGAATGTTCCTTTCACTCAGGGTCTCTTTCCCATGGGCTTTCCCAAATACGTAGGGGTACCCTTCAAATACTCCCCCAAAATTGTAGAGTCTTTTGTTTGGAACGCCCCAAAATCGGGGTACCCCCAAATTTGGGGTGAGCCCCCATGCAAGCACCTGACACCCCAAACTCTCCCTCTCTCTCTCTCTCTCTCTCTCCTCTCGTCTCTCTCTCTCTCTCTCTCTCTCTCTCTCTCTCTCTCTCTCTCTCTCTCTCTCTCTCTCTCTCTCTCTCTCTCTCTCTCTCTCTCTATATATATATCCAAAGCCCTAAATAAACTCAAACACTAGATCCTAGCCGTGACCACACCCCAGCATGACAACACCCAAAAGTTAGACCCAGGCAGCACACAGGAGGCGTCCCGTGGCAAAGAGACCATGGCTGCTGTGGGCGAAAAGGTCATCTCAGTTGATTGATAGCTTCTGCAAGTCGTGGCTTAGGGCTGTTGGGCTTTCCTGTTTAAAGGAAGCATGGGCTTTTCGGTCTGAAGGTTCATGGCTTTTCTGTATGAGCTATGGGGTGCTACCGCAAGGAACACTGCATCGCAGACCCACTGCTGCTCATCAGACGAAAAGCACAACCTGACACCTATCTCTTTGCATTTGTGGTGTGAGATGGATACTTCGAGGCTCTCTTGTCGAATTTCCTTGAAAAGCTTTCGAGGCTGCATGCCCTTATCTAGCGGCTGATCCCCTATAGATCCCTTCACAGGAACTGTATTGTTCCAAAACCCGTGAATTAAGGAATGTATACCTTAACTTATGGTAGGATCCCTAATATGATTGAAAGGTATATTCCTTAACTACTTAATTAAGGGATGTTGGAGCTTCTGGGTAACCGAGGCCCCTACATTAAATCCCTGGCTCTGCTGACAGAACCACTGCGCTGCCTCGTCGGTGATCTGGCTGAGCTTTAGTTCTGTTCCTCCAGTGCTTAGGTTTTAGGGAGGCTCAGGGTTATGTAGGATTTTGGGTTTAGGGTTTGGGAGTACTATGTCATGCTTCCTGTGCCAGGCAACCATCAGAAATGCATTCTCCATCGCTCCGAAGTTGAGCCTAAACCTAGTAGAACCTTGAACCTGAGGACTTAAACCCTGAATCCTTAACCTCAAAACCCTAAACCCTAAACCCTACCTTAACCCTGAATAGCCTACCTTTTTAAGGACTTAATTACAAAAGGAAGTCCCAATAAGGAGCCCAAAAACATGTAGGGTTTTCAGGGTTAAGGTATACCTTACATGTGGGCTTGCAGGGTTCAGAGGTGAGTTTCAGGGTCAATTGAGACGCAGACTCTCGGTGCCATGACGCACCTTGCGAGGCCGGTGTCTGGGAGCTTTTAGGGCTTTGAGGGTGTAACTAGGTAGGCCTTTGGGACATTTTATATTTTCCCTTATTGGGCTTAATAGGACCCTATTTACGAATATTTTTCAGAGGCTTTAAGGGGCCAACCCAGGTAAGTTTTAGGGTTCATTCGTGCGTAGGCGTTCTGGTTACAGTTGTTGGTTTTGGGGCTAGAATGATGCATCCCAAACCTTATTAGAACTGCTCTTATGGCAACTACAGTTTGTATCCCCCCACTCTTCATTTGCGGGTGGGGTGGGTGATCGGACAGTTTTCTGGTGGAAGCCCGGAATCCAGGAATGGTCTCCCAAGCCGTTCAGTCGAACCTGGTCAGTCCCTGAAACTGCGAGTTGCATCCCCGAGCTGCAGTTACCAGGATGTGAAGTCCCTGATTCTGTCAACCAAAATGATGCAAGATGGCTTGAGTCCTTCCCTCGTGATTGAGAAAACACGAGTCGATGTTGCAAAGGACAAGCTTGCAGGATGGAGATTCGGCAGTGCAGCTAACACTAAGTGTCGCCTACAAACGCAATGGTTCCATATTGTGATGATTACAATTATTACTAGAGTTAAAACTAGTACGTATTCTTCTTGTCTTTATTATTGGTATCAATAATGCTGTGATTAGCCTTAGTAAGGCTGAAGAAGTCTTTCGTCCGAAATCTTCGAGCTGCATGATCTACACCCTATACCCTTGAATCATACAGCCGGAGTCGTGCAGCATGTGTCTCGTAGTCGTTGCGATGTCGGAAGCTCTGTACTAATCAGTTAGTTAATTATTTACATATTTGCTGGATCAAGTGAGTACTGGGTTGTTAATAGACGAATGAATGAACGAATGAATGAATGAATTCGTTAATTATTCACTTCACTAAGTAAGTAAGTGATTCAGCAATGAATGAATCAATGGCTTAATTAGGCAATAAACTGATCATGTAATGGTCATTTATTTCGTTATGTATGTATGTACGTGCGTATGTATGTATGCATGTATGTATGTATGTATGCATGTATGTATGTATGTATTTAAGTATGTATGTATGTATGTATGTATGTATGTATGTATGTACGTACGTACGTATGTATGTATGTATGTATGTATGTATGTATGTGTGTGTCTACATTATATTACATTATATACACATGTGTCGACAAATAAGCAGATAATGTGAAGGCCATAGTCATGAGAAAACGGCTTTGGGCTTCATGATACTGTTCCAAGCGTAAGCATACTCAGGAGTCCTAAGGCATTGCGGCATAGCAGTGTGAACATTCAGGCTTCTATACCTCACCCAGCATTGCGGAAGTCTTCGTCTTCCAGCCCCCCTCGTTCAAACGGCTGCATGCTTCTACAGGTCAGCTAATGCCGTGCCGGCTGCGGAGCTGAGAAAGCTGTGCTACACCACTGCCCAGGCAGCTTTGATAATTGGGTAGTTCCTTAAATTGAGTCCCTGTTAAGATCCCAGGGTGTGAAACGGACCCTAAAAGGAACCCAGTTTGGAGAACTACCCGAATGAAGCCGCAACCCTACACCTGAAGCCATGAGCAACATATCCTGAATTATGATAGGGTGTCAGAGAACGTCCCATGGTCCGAGAACCCTGTAAACCTTAGATCCCTAACCCTAAACCCTAAACCATGCCTTGACCCTACCGAAACAAGAGCCGTGGAGTCCTGACATTAACAAGCAGCATGCGGGCCTTCATAAGTTTGGTAGGCCAGGTTTCCGAGAATTGGTGTACTAGAAGATGCTATAAGCATATAGTTAAGAAGCCTTTGAAAGATGATGGTAACTAGTCAGTCTTCTACGTAAAACCATATCCCTGTCAACTATATAAAAAAATCTGGTTAGCCCTGATGCACGGTACCTCCAAAACGCAGTCTAAACCTTTAAGCTCCTCCTATACCCCTCGAATGCCCCTTCATTCACACGGGTGGCTGTCAAAATTAGGGTCCCTTTTTGGGTCCCTAGTGTAATAAGGCACCTAATATTTAGGGTACCCAAAAAGGGACCCTAATTTTGACAACCACCCACACTGGCACAGAAGCAGATGAGGGGCCGAAGAGAAGATTAACCCCAACAGAGGAAAGTGCGACACCGTCACTTCCGATTCCCCTTCGTTTGTTTCGTTCTGAACCTTGAACCCTAAACACTGCAGGCCATACACAGAAATGTATATAGGGGTCGGAATAAATTACAAAGAAGATTCCTCGAGGTTCCGCTACTATGCTTCGTAGCTGAGTGGATACACATTAATTACACCACTTTTTGGGAACATATCACCCACTATAAAACCAAAGTGTACACTTTTGGGGGCTTATGAACTCAGCAACTAAGTATGGACCCCCTACATATTGGCTGTAAACTCGACTTTTCAACTTTTGGGGTTCTTATAAGGTAGTCGATTCTGAAAGTTTCAACTTTTATTTCCTTGGGTTTTGGGCCAGTGAGCCCAAGCCCTCTTCGAATGTCTGAACGAAAAAAAACCGCGAGGCCATCCACGACGGAGCGGGGCCTTCGAAACCGGGCACAGCAGGCCTTCAACTGTGATTTCTATAGGGGGCCTAAATCTTTTTAGCCTAAATAATTACCTATACCATTTGGGGGTTCCTTATTCTATTTATAGTATTATATGGTTCCTATTATTCTACATTTATACTATTATGCATCCCCAAAACCTTGATCTAATTAGTAAGGACCTTGTGAATTCTTGTTGGCCGTGCCTCGGGTTTAGGGCTAAACAAACTTTAGTTGTCAGGCGTTCAGACCTTCGGGTTTAGGGTAGTGGGGCCTGTTTAGGGTTTA